CTTTTTTCAACAACACAAACAGCAGTTCTACACGTGGACTTCACCAGATGGAACACACAGGAATCAGATTGACTACATCTGTGGCAAGAGGCTGTGGAAAAGCTCAATATCTTCAGCCAAAACCAGGCCAGGAGCTGATTGGGGAACAGATCAACTGCTCATATGCAAGTTCAACTTGAAATTAAAGACAATTAAAACAAGTCCAAGAGAGCCAAAATATGATCTTGAATATATCTCTCCCAAATTTAGAGATCATCTAAAGAATAGATTTGATGCATTGAACACCAATGACCAAAAACCAGAAGAATTGTGGGAGGATCTCAAGAACATTACCCATGAAGAAAGCAAGAGATCACTAAAAAGATGAGAAAAGAAGAGAAGACCAAAATGGATGACAGAAGAGACTCTGAACCTTGCCATTGAGCGGAGAGTAGCTAAAGCAAATGGAAGAAATGACATGATAAAAGAGCTGAACAGAAAATTTCAAAGAGCAGCTTGAGCAGACAAAACCAATTACTAAAATGTGCAAAGACCTGGAGTTTGAAAACCAAAAGAGAAAAACGTGCATGGCATTTCTCAAGCTGAAAGAATTGAAGAAAAAATTTAAGCCTCAAGTTGCAATGTTGAAAGATTCTATGGGCAAAATATTGAATGATGCAGGAAACATCAAGAGAAGATGGCAGGAATACACAGAATCACTATACCAAAAAGAATTGGTAGATCTTGATCCATTTCAGGAAGTGGCATATGATCTAGAACCAATGTACTTAAGGAGGAAGTCAAAGCTGCAATGAAAGAATTGGCAAAGAACAAGGCTCCGGGAATTTATGGAATACCCATTGAGATATTTCAACAAACGAATGCCCCATTGGAGGCACTTACTCACTTATACCAAGAGATTTGGAAGACAGCTACCTGGCCAACTGACTGGAAAAGATCCATATTTGTACCCATTCCAAAGAAAGGTGATCCCACAGAATGTGGAAATTATAGAACAATATTATTAATATCGCACACAAGTAAGATCTTACTGAAGATAATTCAGAAACGGTTGCAGCAGTATATTGACAGAGAACTTCCAGAGGTGCAAGCTAGATTCAGAGAAGGACATGGAACAAGGGATATCATTCCTGTTGTCCGATGGATCTTGGCTCAAGGCAAAGAATACCAGAAAGATGTTTACTTGTGTTTTATTGACTATGAAAGGCATTTGATTGTGTGGATCAAGACAAATTATGGGTAACAGTGAGAAGAATGGGAATTCCCAAACACTTTATTGTACTCATGAGGAACCTGTACCTTGACCGGGAGGCTGTCATTTGAATGGAACAAGGGGACACTACATGGTTTAAAATCAAGAAGGGAGTGTGTCAGGGTTGTATCCTTTCCCCACACTTATTCAATCTGTATGCTGAGCAAATAAACCGAGAAGCTGGACTATATGAAGAAAAATGTGGCATCAGGATTGGAGGAAGAATCATTAACAACCTGAGATACGCAGATGAAAGTTTTGCTTGCTGAAAGTGAGGATGACTTAAGGCACTTATTGATGAAGATTGAAGAATACAGTCTGCAGTATGGATTACATCTCAATATAAAGAAAACAAAAATCCTCACAA